ATAATGCACAAAACTTCTGACCAAAAGAGTTAAGTGACTTACTAAAACATGATATGAAGCCCTAAGCTGGTATAACGAAGAATTAGTCTCTACTAAATAAAGAACTCCTGCCAGTGAGAATAAAAGCTCTAAGACAGTGCTCTTTCACAGCTCACGAAGACTGCTAATACTCCCTCCGATTCTTATTTCCAAGTATGACAGAGCCACATCTGGATAACCTGATCATCCATAAATGCAAACTGGCTTCCTCTTGCTATCTAGACTACCCACATACATATACTGAAGAATAGATATGTATATTACATACATATAAGAAGTGTTGCTGAGTAATGGGACCATAGACAATAATTTTGCTTCCTTTTACTTTTTTGTAACTTCCAATTTCTACCATGAGCATGTGTTATTTTAATGCTGAAAGAAATAAAGCTCTTTTAAAGTTAAAAAATAAGAATAAAGCAAGTCACATAATAAAACATACGCTATAATTCTATTTATACAAAGTTGCAAATGTAAAAAATGCATTCTTCAGGATATGTACTTGTTTGGTAAAACTATAAAGAAAAGTGAGGGAGGGGGTGGCCGCTTAGCTCAGGTGGTTAGAGCGCAGGCTCATAATACCAAGAGTGCTGGTTCGATTCCCACATGGGCCAGTGAGCTGCGTCCTCCACAACTAGATTGAAGACAACTACCTGACTGATGGGTCCTGGAAAAACACACTGTGCCCAAATAAAGTTTAAAAAAAAAAGAAAAGTGAGGGAATGATTCACACAAAATTCAGCAAACTGGTTACTTCTGAGAGAGAAAGATTCAATCAGGCAGGAAACCACTACTAAAGGTACCAGAAATCTCCTTTTTATTAAAGCTGGTAGCAAAAACATAGATCTTCAACTTATTCTTTAATTTGAAGATTTATGTTATATGCACTTTTACATATATGACTTGTTTCACAATTTAAAAGAAGATAAAACAGGGTTGAAGAATCAGAATTTGGGGGCTATAATCCAGACTCTTCCACTTACTGACTGTAACTAACCTTAAGTCATATAACCTCTCAGAGCATTTCATTTTATTGATGAAGAAGCTAACATGTTTAGTACTTTACTGTTTAAAGTTCCTATACTATAGTACAAACATTCAAATACACAGATAAACTATGGAATGGTAATACAAAGTAACACCTCCTTAATAATAATACTAAGAACTCAACTGTAGGACACAGAAGGCTATTCACATTCTAGTCACTTCCTATCTAATAATGGCAACAATTAATATTTTTTAATGTGTACTAAGTAGCATACTGTGTTCAATGCTTTCTACTGATTATTGTTTAATCCTCAAAACAACTTTATGAGATTAGTTCTCTTCTACCCACTTTACAGATGAGACCACTGTGCCCAAGGTCACGTAGCTAGTAAATGGTGGACAAACTTCAGAACCCAGACTCTTCACCAGCACATTAGTTTTGCCTCACTGCTCTCACTATATTTATTAAATAGTCTGCCTCTTCCACAACACTGAAAGCTCTTTGGCAACTGGTTTTTTGCTCATTTTCATTTCTCCTGACACTTAGCAGGCAAGAAGTAAATAAATATTAAGCAAATATTTCATATATGCACAGTGTTTTCAGGACAAAGTTATTTCAGGACATGAACTGATTTGTTCCTCTTGACAGCTTTGTTAAGTATGAAAGCTTTTTTTTTTCTTTAAACCATTTAAACCATATTTAAGTGTATAATTCAGTGGAAGAGTACATTCACAATGTCGTGTAACCATTACTACTAAGTATGAAAGGTTTTTAATGACTTCACTGAAATCAATCAGCTATCAAGTGCTGGAACAGGAATTTGAATCCAGGACTCTTGACCCCTAAATTCACAGGCTATTCATTCTACCAAGGTGCCTGTCTACTAATATGTCCATCTGCTCTCCCCTTCTCACCAGAGTTATAGAGAGAATTAAATGAAAAGATACGAGGAAAAAAAAAATCTACCAAGACATTTCTCCCAGGCAATTACTTCTCATTTTGAGCTTTCCAAACCTAGGGCTTTAATATAAATATCACACCTCTAGATAAAGCCTGCAGATCCACAAAGCAATGTCAGGACCCCAGAGTAAAGTTATGAGGAGAAATGCTTGCATTAATTAGATTACGCTCTCATCGAATTAGAGGTAACTGCTCAAACCTGATTTTTATTGTAATACAGAAAGCTTCCTCATTAAAAAAACACTTTCAATTCCAAGGAAAAGTCCAACCTTCCATCATTCTGCCCATTTTGGGGAAAAAAAACACAAAATTCTAAATATTTGGTATTTTTATTTGCTCAACTGCAAGAGCCAAGGAAAATGATGTTTGTGAGCTAAACTCTAAAGCTTAAACAAAAAGAATTATTTTGATCCCACTGGTGCCAATTTTATCCCTTTACATTCCTCTCCATTTTTTCCTCAGAGCTCTAATCAACAGCCACTTCATTTTTAACATATCATAGTTAATGCAATTATCAATACATCCAGAAAACTCTTTCCTCCATGCACACCCCTCTCTACCTCCCAACATCACCATTCTGCCATGATAATAAGTATATCATTAAGCTTTAAATAAAATTTTTAATAGATGATGATATTGTTTCTGTAGTTAATGTAATGTGTCTACTACATTAATGCCATCCTCTAAAAAAATAAAAAATGATTCTATATGCTTTATCCACGTCTGACAGAATTCTCACCACCTGAATTCAATCTATAGAAATATAGTCCAATTATTTTAAATCTTATATGTCAGAAAAGAATCAAATGAAAAACTCCATCAATACCAAAACCATCTCACCAATGAATATTTATGACATTTCCATATTTCCTGTCTTCCCTCTGTTTACTTAAAGCGGTGGTGCCAAGATTCATCTCTGGATTATTAGCCTACAATACAATGATGGGCCTAATTGCCTTGCAAACCAGGACACCAATAAATGGAGTCTTCAAGCAATCAATTTTAAGAGAAAAAAAAAGGCCTAAGCTCTTTCTGCATACATGCACGTTGCCTGACTAGGAAATAAATTCATAAATTCAGCTTTATATTTTTCAGTCTTAATCATCAGTTCTCAAGCAAGGAATGCTCCCTTTGCTACCTCAAACTCATCAAATCTATTGAATTCTAAATTCCAGGACTAATTTTTAAATGCACCAGAGGGAGGGCGGAAAAGAGGAGGCAGAGACATCATATAGAAAGATATCTATCACATTCCAGTTTTATCTCCTCCACCTTTAGTTTGGGAGTGGGTTTTTTCCTCCCTGCTTTCTTCTATATGAACACAGGCTTACCTCATTTTATTGTGCTTCACTTTATTGCGCTTCACAAATGTTGTGGTTTTTTACAAACTTAAGGCAAGACCCTCCACCAGCAATAAGAACACAACTCAGGTAACTGCAATACTCACTTTATTGTGATGGTCTGGACCCAAACCTGCACTATCTCCAAGGTGTGTATGTAACAGAAGACACTCTCCCCTCCTTAATTTTAACTGAAGCCCCTCTCAACTTCAGGGTTGATTTACTTCCAAATGTAATACTAAGATAAATGAAACAAAAAGATTAAACTAACAGCTTAAGAGGTCCTCTAGGAGGGTCTTTAATGTACCTTCTCTGTCCCCTACAAAGTCCCCTGTGATTACTGTCTTCCCCGAACCACAGCAGCCTCCAAAGCTGTCCATTTAAGTCCAACCCTTAACCCTTTTCTGTCTCTTGGAGGCCATCCAAATCCTTCCTCTCCCTCTTCCCAGCATTGCTCATGCCCCTCTCCACATCCTCTCTGTCCCATCCACACCAACTCCATGTCTTCCACTCCTTAAATAACCCCTCTGCCACCTCACCACTAGCAACTACCTCGCCAGTCCTACCACTTCTTCTCAGACATTCCTTCTCCAAATCTCCCTCTGCCACCTTGACCAAGGGACATTTTCTTCAAGACACCATCCCCCAACATTGCTCACCACCTGCCACTATTCTTTCAGTGAATTCAGCTCAGCAGCGTCTTCCATGCCCTCTGTCTCGGCCCTGGACCCAGGATCCATCAAGGCCCCTTCCAGAGGTTCGAAGATCACCCTAAATCCCATTCTACTGTGGGCCACCCCCCCAC